AAAAATCTTGCCTGCTCATCTTCCCCTTGCCTAAAAATCCCATCCCAAGGCGCTACGCGCTTAACCTCGGTCAGGCGAATACTTCCTCCTGTTTTGGGTACTCTACCGCTCGCTGTCCCGTGGTGATATCTGCAGGCGGCTGGTCAGCGCGTCGGCGAGAGTGCGGGCGATGTCATCTACGGCCGGGTTCGCCGATGGCCGCCCCGCTTGTTGCTGGTGGCGTGCCTCGTGCTCGCTTCCGGTCCGGACGTTCTCTGTCCTCTGCTCCTCCTCGTCTTGTTGCCGCCTTATGTCGGCCAGTCGTTGTTGTACCCTCATCTCCACCAACTCGTTGATGCGGGCGTCCTCGTCTTCTGCGTGACGGGCGCCTCGTTCTTGGTCGGCGCTGGACATCGGTGACAGCTGCTGATCGCCGCAAAGCGATACNCGTTCTCGTCAAACCATCACGGTATCGAGTCACGCCTTCATGCTTCCTCACACAACGAATCTCTCTGAATCCTCACCAAAACCTCTCACAACCAAGGAAAATATGTAGAAAGTTCCTGTTCCTCCGCATCTCATCACTGCAATATTCGTACGTACGTACATAACATCTCAACCATCATACTATGCTACGAGTATATCGAATACCCCGCTCCCCGCGCGTCCAGCGCTAGCTCCCTTGGTGAGTACGATCCAACTCCGGCGAGAAGAACCTGTGGCGTGCTCCGGCGCGCGTCTTATGGTAGAATTGAGAGGCCAGATAGTATGACGGCTCTGCATGATACATGACTATACACCACCCCGTGGCATCTCGAACCAGCGTTTCGATTAATCCACGACTACGGTGAGAGTTGGGATCATGCATATATACTTCGGATTTGTCAGGGAGTTGCATGCTTACAACAACTGAGTTCCTGTTCGTTCGTCGCTGCCCCACAACGTAAAAGCTGCTGCTGCTGCTGCAACGAGTAAACAACGAGCTAACATACCTTCCCTACTGCCTCTTCCATGTACGCTGCTCGGAAGCACTGTGGGGGCCACCTATTTCGGGTGGGGGTGGGCAAGCACTCAGGTGCAACGTAGGCGTTCCGAGACACTCCTCGGCACCATCGCTTCGCCAGGGGCATGTTTAGGGGGAGATCTCCCTACAGGCAAGTGTTATGGGCGAGCTACAGCGAGGCTGTGAGGCGACAGCAAGAGCTTAGGGTTCGGATGGACGAGTGCTCGACGTGGAGGCAAGTGCTGTGGGTTGACATGTGGCATAGATCAAATTATTTTAGTGGAGAGGATATGTGTTTTTTTGTAAAGCATTTATCGCATTATTATGCGAAGACGTTCTTTGTCCCCTCGTCGATGAACTCAAGTGCCTGTTTTTCTCGTGGATCAAACGCAGTTCGTGGAAACGGTTGGTGTTTTTTTAAAGTATTTATCTCACTATGACGCAGTGACGCCCCTTTGTCGCCTCGTTGGTACACTAAGGTGTCTATTTCTCTCGTCGATATAGTTCGCTTTGTGTGCCACGATTCAACTCTCTCTGTTGCACGTTTCACCGCTAAAACAACTGGACTTTCATTTTTTTTCTCCCACCATCGGACTTTGTCATCTGCCCCTCTGGCTCCTATCCTCCACTTCTACTAGCTAGACGACCCAACCGGGGTCACATAGGAGGGGGGGNAGGTTAGTGTTTTTTTAAAGTATTTATCTCACTATGACGCAGTGACGCCCCTTTGTCGCCTCGTTGGTACACTAAGGTGTCTATTTCTCTCGTCGATATAGTTCGCTTTGTGTGCCACGATTCAACTCTCTCTGTTGCACGTTTCACCGCTAAAACAACTGGACTTTCATTTTTTTTCTCCCACCATCGGACTTTGTCATCTGCCCCTCTGGCTCCTATCCTCCACTTCTACTAGCTAGACGACCCAACCGGGGTCACATAGGAGGGGGGGGCTGGACCCCCTCCTGCGGTTCCTGCTGAGGTATTTTGATCGCGAGAAGGGTACAGCACTCCCTTCCCTCGCGACTTACGAAGTCGATNTCTCTCTGTTGCACGTTTCACCGCTAAAACAACTGGACTTTCATTTTTTTTCTCCCACCATCGGACTTTGTCATCTGCCCCTCTGGCTCCTATCCTCCACTTCTACTAGCTAGACGACCCAACCGGGGTCACATAGGAGGGGGGGGCTGGACCCCCTCCTGCGGTTCCTGCTGAGGTATTTTGATCGCGAGAAGGGTACAGCACTCCCTTCCCTCGCGACTTACGAAGTCGATTATGGTTTCTAACAACGAGCTTTGCAACGCGTCGCTTTCATCCTAAACCAGGATTTAAAAATAACTCACTCTGCCGGGACCCGAACCCATGACCTGGCCCCTAGCAGGCTGCGAGGCTACCCACTAGACCACCGGGGCGACCGGTTGTTGTGACATGGTGTGACATGTTTTTTTTTGTCGTATCTCAGTTTTTTCTACGAGGGGGTCTGCTCATCACGTGGACGTGGGTGTCAGACTCCCCACAAAAAGCGAAGCTTCTGTATTGCAAGCACCCCAACAATTCCACCAAGCTACCGTGCCCGTATTGCAAGGCCGAACAAGACGAACGTCTTTCAACTTGCGGCGACCTCGGGAACGCAAGGTACGACGTTGACGCAAATAGGCAGACGATGGGGGGAAGCCCAAGATGGCTGGCGCGAGTTGCAGGCATTGGAGTTGGCCCCGAACGAGCAAACGAAGCGCTCGGCGGAACTAGGAATAGTGGCGCCTACGGGGGTTAGCGGCGGTTTCCTCGGACGCCCGCTGTGGGACAAGGTGTTTATTAACCTGCACGGCACGTCCCTGTCGAGAGTCTTCATGCCGATGCGCTGGTGAGTCGTTTTGTCTTTTAGGCCCTACCCAACAGTCACAGTTATTCCTCTTTCTTTCTCATATTTGTTCTCCATTCTGAAACATCCATGGGAACCCGTGGTCACAAAACTAGGTACTCCAAGCCGCAAAGAAACAGCAAAAATTTCGTACATGGGCGCCCCACGACACTAAAACTGGGCCCCGGGGGGGACTTGCGTGATCGCCGACGCTAAATCAAGGACTACGGTGCATACCAGATTTGGAAGAAAGATTGAAAATAACAGGGCCTGCGANCCCGAACGAGCAAACGAAGCGCTCGGCGGAACTAGGAATAGTGGCGCCTACGGGGGTTAGCGGCGGTTTCCTCGGACGCCCGCTGTGGGACAAGGTGTTTATTAACCTGCACGGCACGTCCCTGTCGAGAGTCTTCATGCCGATGCGCTGGTGAGTCGTTTTGTCTTTTAGGCCCTACCCAACAGTCACAGTTATTCCTCTTTCTTTCTCATATTTGTTCTCCATTCTGAAACATCCATGGGAACCCGTGGTCACAAAACTAGGTACTCCAAGCCGCAAAGAAACAGCAAAAATTTCGTACATGGGCGCCCCACGACACTAAAACTGGGCCCCGGGGGGGACTTGCGTGATCGCCGACGCTAAATCAAGGACTACGGTGCATACCAGATTTGGAAGAAAGATTGAAAATAACAGGGCCTGCGAAATGGAAGAAGTAGAGGAGACTAACTTCAGGCCTAAAAGAAAGGCTTCCGACACCCGGCCACAATGCCGGAAGGTTCCATTCTGGCATCGTGTTTGTTATTGTTGATTTTCGTTGTGAAACTCATCCAATGGGGCACAGAATGCATGTGTAGCCTGACATCCTCGCGTCCAAAAGTAGACAGCGTTGTGTGTAAGTTTGACGCATACATGTGGGCACATGTAATGTGTTTTGTGTCAGCAGCCTGAATGCTGTGTCTCGTGGGAAACCTCATCCACCGTGCAAGCACCCCTTGAAAACACAGCGAGATTGCAGTATAGTATGCATGCACATCATGTTGATTGCCCCATTGCGCCCCCGCCTTTTTGTGTTCGTCCTGTACACTGTTTCCCGCAGGGGGCGCAGACATTGGTGCAGTTTGTTTTTCTGGCCCTCCTGAACAAAGCTGGCCGGGGAGTGATCTCCTCCATCGTACGGCAAGGCAGCACGCTGTACCCACCAGCTCCAGCACCATTGAAAGACATATGCACCAACTATTCCTCCCTCAAGGGTAGAGACAAGAGGGCTATTGGGATAGATCCTGCTTCTTGTGTCCCACTGTGTCCTCCATGACGCGACACCACTGGTAATATTGTTGTCTATTGCCTACACGAGAGGGCGCGGGTTGTTTTGCGGGTTCATGCGATAGGCCATGGTTCTCGTAAAAATACTGCTTACCAGTTAACGAGTAAAATGTTGTGCCCGCGGCCCCCTGCAAATTTTCGATAATATCGACGGGTGGGTGCGTAATGATGAGCTACCGTAGGGTTGCTGAGATTATGCGCACAACGACCGAGATCCAAGCACCATATTTTTTTGTGCACCTTTTCGCGTCCATCTTGCGCAGAAAGAGTATGTGAAGCCGCGAGAGCTACAAGCCTTTAAAGACACATGGGGAGGAGAGCAGGCCGTGTTGGCGCAACTACGGAAGCTGTTGCAAGTGGCGTCTGCTCTGACGTTCGCAGTTCGTTCGCCGTCCTTCAATAAGGCTGAAGAAGCTCATGGAGCATGCCCGGGACACGGTGAGGGCCTTCAGAGACAATTTTCGTACCGTGTCTGGCAGATTACCGTGCAAGTTGTCTACCCAGCTTTGACCCTAGCCCATTGTCCTTGCTACACTACATATACCAGAGAATGCCTAGGCTTGACACTTCGGAATTCCGATGGAATTTAATTTTTCCTTTTTCGCATAGAGACCTCACACCTCCGCCCCGAATAAAATCTCGNAATAAGGCTGAAGAAGCTCATGGAGCATGCCCGGGACACGGTGAGGGCCTTCAGAGACAATTTTCGTACCGTGTCTGGCAGATTACCGTGCAAGTTGTCTACCCAGCTTTGACCCTAGCCCATTGTCCTTGCTACACTACATATACCAGAGAATGCCTAGGCTTGACACTTCGGAATTCCGATGGAATTTAATTTTTCCTTTTTCGCATAGAGACCTCACACCTCCGCCCCGAATAAAATCTCGTTGATTTGTTGCCGCTTGTTGTATAAGACCCTTTGCTTTGGTGGAACTTTCGGATTTCTCCAAAGCTCGAACAAACGTTATATCCCCACGCCCTTCTTGGCGTTTTCCTCGCGGCGTCTCTTGTAACAATTGCCTCTCCAAAAATGTGCCAATTTCATGTTTGTTGCACCCCCCCCCCCCCCCCCCCCCCCCCCCCCCCCCCCCCCCCCCCCCCCCCCCCCCCCCCCCCCCCCCCCCCC